ATTTTTCTATCACAGCGCGATGTTTTCGTCGCGCTGTGGTGACGTCAAATGCGCGCTTTCGTCGAGCGCAATTTTGTCCTCCGCGGTTTTGTGGTGGAACCAAAATACAAATCCAGGATCAGTGGCTTCTTCCCCTTTATTACTCATTCTTGTTCCCTGGATTATGGGGTTTTACAAAGGAACAGGAAGTACTGCTTTTAGGCAGATGGGGAGGTTAGGGTAGTGGCCACGCGATTATGCAGCAGTATTCCAACTTGGTTTTAGTGTTTCTAAGTGTTATTTGCCTCACATTAACCTTATTGTTTTATGTACATATTGTATATGGCTGTTAAATTTGCAACAGCAACAGAACTCAAGATATTCAGTATAGAACAACTGGGATTTAAAAACAACATATTCCCATTCCAATCATTTCATTTCTAGATGGACTTATCCAGCATTCTGACCCATTGCCTAGAGGAAAAACTAAGACCTTACAGAAGGCCAATATACCAACAGGGCCTGAAGCAGTGCTTTATATTCAACCAAGCAATTCAGGTATATAACATCTGAGTTTCTGATTTCTGTCATCTATAGCTGAGTATTTTTGTTCTCACGCTGTAGAAATGGAAAGTGTACGCATTTTCTTGCTTGGATAAGCCTTGAATCTTTGTATCAAGTAGGCTATATGGGCTTTTTATGGGCACACAGTTACAGAGCTGGTTTTTCCCCTCTACAGTACTTTATAATAGTAACAATCACCCATGGATGCCAACCTCCCATTACAGCAAGAGTCTGCTATATACTATTCGGGTTACTCCAGAGGTGGGTTCCTACCGGTTCGCACCAGTTCAATAGAACTGGTTCATCAAATCTAACGAACTGGTTAGAAGATGTTCCACCAGTGGACCCGGAAAGCAGGCCACACCTACAGAAGAGGTTCCAAAAATGTTTGAAACCCACCACTGGGTTACTCACATAGAAAATTGCATTCTTACCCAATTTTACCATGAGTGACATAACACAGATTGGTGGGTAGTCATAGAATTTACAGAGGTTTGTAAATTTTGGTTACTTGTTGTTCTGGTTTCTCCCCTTCCTTGTTAATTTGAATACATTCTGGATATATTACCTATGCTAATAAATAATTGTCACTGCCTAATTCATGTAAGATTGCATATCGCTGTGTTCATTTTTGTTTTGAAAATATTCTCTATCAAGCTATGAAGAGATTGGAGATTGCAAAGTGGATTTTGCCAGCTTTTCCTTGATGTTTCTAAAGCCTTTGGGTAAACTGTCATTACTATCCATTTTCACTGGGTTTTGGCATAATTTATTAATATATTTTATAATAACTGAGAGCAAACTTACAATGTAGGACCTCAGCATGATTGAATAGATAGCAAATGGGATAGGGCCAAAATACTAAAATCCATGAATGAAATTTAAGAAAATTAAATTCAAGTTTATAAGAGAACAATGAGGTGGCAAAAAGCATGAAAAACAGGAACATTCAGGCTTTCTGCACTGTTGGTTCAAAAGAACTGGTGACTGTGAAAATTTCAAGGATGTGTGGCTGCAAAAAAAAATCCTTTATCCAAGCACAGTCATTGTCATGTTTCTTTGATTCTTGAGTAATTCCAAGTAGCCAAAGATTCTTCATCAAGAAAAAAAAAATTGGAAGCCCTACTAAGAAACCTAGAAAACTAATTGCAAGATCTGCTAATTTTTGCTGGGAAACAATAGAGAAGGCTGGAAAAAGAAAATGTAGCTAGTTTTTTTTAAGACCTAGTAGAATAAGCAAATAAGATTTCCAAGTATTAGGTAAGGAGACAGCATACATCCGGCTCCCTGTGTGCTTTCTCTTAAGAAACCAATTGCATCTTCACTGTGAATAAGCAAAGAAGCAGCATGGATTTGTTTTGAATTGGAAGAGGCTCTTGTTGCAATCAATGTGCTCCAGATAGCTAGCAGATTTCCCCTTTTGGAAAAAATGAATCAAAAAAACTTCACCAAACATTACAAATCCAGCTAATTTGCAATATAAAAAGACAAGGATGGCAAGCAGTATAATAACTTTATCTGGGCCTAGAGAATTTGATTACCATGTTTGATTAATAGCAATGCTGATAATAGTTTCACTTGAAAGAATAACATCTATTTTTGGAGTTTATGTGGTGGATTACAAGCATGCCTCTTGAAAGGATATATCTCAAAGCCCACACGTTTCCACAATACCTTCTGATTTGATGATCCCATAGCATTGAAAAGCATGTATATCATACTTGCTAGCTAAATTTAGTTTAGGAATTAATCAGGTATGACTAGATTGGGTTCTTTGGTCCTGAAGGAGGAGCTTGAAACAAACTGATCCTCAATTTAAAAAAAAAACATATTGGGGTCCATTAAGGATGAAAGGACTCAGGAAATCACAGCAGAAAGTTTAAGTTTCCAAACCTCCTTTTTTTGCCTAAAAGAAAGGGAACTAGGGAAGTCTTTAATAATTGGTGAAAAGGGAGCAGAAGGCTGTCTTTAATTATTAGTCAAATGATGTTCCATTCATCCCTTGCTTTGAGCAAAAATTTCCCCTTGCTGTTGTGCATCTTAACAAAAAGCCATCATTGAAAGTATATGAGCGTATCAAATCAGTCCTGGGTATATTAAATTTCATAAATCTGCTATTTTAGATCTGGGCCTTTGTGGAACTGATATGAATAGAATACGAGTATGATTCTGGGTCACAAAGTGGTAATATCATAAAAGATAAGTGAAGTCAAATCAAACGGCTATATGCACATCCTCCCATTATGACAGATTTTATGGAATTCATGTACTGTACCTTTGAATAATTCTAGAAAGGTTCAGAAGTGCCATATTTGGCCTCTGGTGACATAATCATCACTATTATAACAGCTATGGTGGCACAGTTGTTAGAATGCAGTACTGCAGGCTACTTCTGCTGACTGGCAGCAGTTTGGCAGTTCAATTCTCAGTGGCTCAAGGTTGGATTTGAATGCCTTCCATCCTTCTGAGGTGGGTAAAATGAGGACCCAGATTGTTGGGGGCAATATGCTGACTCTGTAAATTGCTTATATTGGGCTGTAAAGCACTGTGAAGTGGTATATAAGTCTATGTGCTATTCCATTATTCTATAGAGCCGAGGTGGCACAGTGGTGAAATGCAGCACTGCAGGCTACTTCAGCTGACTGCAGTTCTGCAGTTCAAATCTCACCGGCTCAGGGTTGACTCAGCCTTCCATCCTTCTGAGGTGGGTAAAATGAGGACCCGGATTGTTGTTCGGGGCAATATGCTGACTCTGTAAACCGCTTAGAGAGGGCTGAAAGCCTTATGAAGCGGTATATAAGTCTAACTGCTATTGCTATTGCTATTCCTTGTGTGTGTGATGCCATTGATTAATCTGATCTGTATCAATGGGGTTCAACAAGTGCAGAGCTGTCATGGTTTATCTCAGTGGCTTTACCTTTCCCTCTTCTATAAGACAAATATTTGCTAAGTTATATGATCAAGATTATTTCCACTTAAGAGTTTTAGGTATGTCCAGATGCCACAGATTTTCAAACGAAACTAGTTTGAAAGAGATTCTTTTCAAGATTCTTGCATTGTTTAGAACGTGTGTTTATATGCTTTACTATGTAACTCATTCAGTCAAGAGTTCTAAAATCTGCATTTGTTTTTGTTTCTAGCAAGTGCCCCAGCCTCCCCTCGGGAAATGATCAGTTTAAAAGAAAGAAAAACAGATTACGAGTCAACTGGAACAAATGCTACTTACCATGGGAATAAAGGAGAGCATACTTCTCGAAAAGACACCATGACAGGTGAGCCAGGAATTGTATGTGATATATAAAATTGTGGAAGACGACAACCTGGGTTGGAATTGACTCTGTTGGTAATACAGACATACTTAGTAAGCATGTTTTAAGTTTTACAGTCTTTGTAAACTACATTCATGTCTTCTACTCACATATTGCTAATCATTTGGAGCCAACAATTTGACTGAATTCAATTTGTATATCTATTGAATGTCACATTTTAACTTTTATTTCAAAACTCCAAATGTTCAATCTCTGCGCCATAATGTTTACTATAGGAATCTGGGATCCTAATTCTATTTCCCCTATAACAGGAAAAGCGATTTATTTGATTTCATTTCCTCTTTCTCCTCCTCCTTCCTTTAAAGCAGTATTTCTCAACTTCAGCAACTTTTAAGATATGTGAACTTCAACTCACATATCTTTTTTACCAGCGTGCTTTAAACTGGAAGATGTAAAACACTATTTTAAACTGAAGGATGTATGTATGAACCACTTATTGTTGCTTAATAACAATATTGGAGAGCACACACAATCATCTTTAGCTATTGTGCTTTGGCAGGAATTATAATACTGTAATTCATCCCATGTGGAGTCAATCACTGCTTGTGACAGCCCAAATTCTTTTTTTTACAGCTCTGCATTATCTAGGGAATGTAATTTTCTCTCTTTAACAAATGCTAATTAGCTTCTTCCCACACAAAAATGGCTTAATTTTACCGTTATATTTATTGCTATTTAAAATTGTAATGTTTATGCTGTTTTCTGAAAAGGGCTATAAAATAGTTCTGTGAGATATTTTTTTTCATTTAAAATAGAAGTCTTTAACAGGTCATGGCAGAAGAGAATATTGAATGCTAACCAACCTCAGATTATGTAATTAATACATTTGGGAAGATGGCATGAAAATCATCATCTGTTTTAGAAACCGTTTGTTACAAAAAATAGCATAAAGCTAGATTTAATTTCAGCTGCATGTAAGGATTCTAATGCTGTCCAGATATTTCATTCTACAAATTCCATAATCCACTGTCATTGGTTGCAGTTGATGGGAGTTGGTCATTTGAGGAGCAAAAGAGCATTACATGTGGAACACATATAGTTGGAAAAGGCTGGTTAATGCCATACCTTTATTGGTGATTATAACCTCACTCAAGTGTTTACATTCATTATACAGTATGAGCTTCTTTGCCTTTCCAGATGTTATATCTGTGACATCATTTAGAAGAACTCTGATACTGTTATATACATCAATGCAAAGGCCTCTATTGTGCAAACAGATGCCCTTTGCATATTGACATCATCTTTTCTCCTTATGTTACCATGAGACAGAGAAGAAACTCACCATTCCCCTGATGGGAAGAGAGCCCTTTAATGCTTCAAAGGATCTTAAGGGGGGGGGGGGCATCTGCATTGGTTTATGTCTATTCATATCTCCAAAATTCCACCATTTATCAGTTTTAGATTTGTCTGGCAATCATGCTAATAATAAGAAATTGCTATTTTAGTAACTAATTTTATTGATTTTTAGTATATTTTTAGTCATAGGTAGTCAGCTAAATCAGTGGCTCCCAATCTGTTCAGCGCCAAGGACCAGTTCTGAGAAGGGTTTTTTTCCCACAGATCAGGGAGGCTCATGTTCTGCCTGGATCCCACATGTGTGTGGATGGGGCTTTGTTCACTTGTTCAGGTGTCAATCCACAGACCCAGGATTGGGGACCCCTGAACTAAATGATACTCCATCAGTTGTGAACTTCTGTACCAGCTTATCACCTCTTCCGCACCACAAGGACAATTTTATCTTTATTACACATCCTCTATTAACCTCTTTTTTTCAGCAGAATAAAGTTATGCTGATTTATTTATTTATTTATTTATTATTAATAGAATTTCTATGCCGCCCAATCCCGAAGGACTCCGGGCGGCTTCCAAAAAGAAGAGGAAGAAAGAAATAATAAAAAGACATAATAAAAAGACACAACACATACAATCACAACACATGCATTCGCTCTAATCGGGGCTGGACCTCAACAATGAGGTCAACAGCCCCAGGCTTCCGGAATAGCCAGGTTTTAACAGCTTTTCTGAAGGCCATGAGAGTGGGTAAGGTCCGGAGAGGGGCTAGCTCATTGTACATAATTGTGTACAAAGGGTCGGAGCGGCCACAGAGAAGGCTCTCCTCCGGGGAGCCGCCAGCCGACATTGTCTGGCTGACGGCATCTGAAGGAGGCCCAACCTGTGGGATCTCACCGGCCGCTGGGAGGTATGTGGCAGTAGGCGGTCTCGCAGGTACGAGCTGATGGCTCTCTGGGATGAAAATGAGAGTATGGTCACCGTACACAGAGCAAAGAGAGTTTAGTTTTCCACTCATCTGTCTCTACAGGAAATATTTTAAGGAGGTAATTTACTTAGGGAAAAGGGTAACATTTATCAATTTTGTTAACAAGCCACAGAACTAAATTTAACCTGATGCTAATAATTTCTCCATGTTTTAAGGTTATTATAATAGGAATAACAGGAAGTTTCCTAATAATAAGAACATATGTAGGTGGTACTATCTAAACCAAGGATTTTCAAATTCCACCAGCATGCAAAACCTGTTAATTAAAAAAAAATCAATCAGAGACAAACCATAATGAGCACAAACATCCTTCTAGAAAAAGAGAGGTTCCAAGATTAGCTGACAAGGATTGCCTTTTCTATTATATCTTTAAAAATGTTGCATACACCCTTGATTATCTTTGAATAAAAGGAGATGTTTTTGGTCCTTATTTTCTCCCAGAACCCAACCAAATTCTTGGAACACAGTTGAAATATCCTTACCTAAATATGTATGTTGAGGGAGTAAAAGTACAAGCTGGAGGAAAACTATTTAAAAACATTAGACTGTAGTAAAACCAAATGGATTCACTGCTCTAGATGATGATGCTTGATAGCTGTTCCTTTCAGCAATTTTGTTTGATAATTAGGAGACCAGCCTCTCAAGAGCTATCATTCTAAGCTTCTTGTTAAACAGCAATGCCGTTCCATCATACCATAACACCATGTCCTATAGCATTCCCCAAATGTCATCCAGTGGAGCCAAAAGATCAAATGAACTCTACGAGAACAATAGTTCTGATCATCTGACGCCCATGAATCCTTCATTAGACAATTGATTCATCAAGAACTTTTGAAGAACTGCAAAACAGCAACAGATAAGGTACTGTTTAGAATTGGATTTTATGTTTAAGAACCCATTTTAGCTTCTTCCCTAGTGTAATTTGTTGGGCTGATTCTTCGCATTTTTGATGTCATGGAGTAGATAGCTCTTATCACTCACTATCCCTCAATGCCATGCCTGGGTTGTGTGGGGCAAGTATATGGTTGACTACTCCTTACATAGCTACTGTGTAAGTACAACCTTGCTTGTGGGAATCTAATTGAGTAGTATAAAGGGCCAGATTGATATATGCTACAATGGGAGCATGTTTATTGACCTGTTCCATGCAAAGTTAGTTAGTCTATCATTTTCTTCTCTCACTTTTTAACCAGTGATTTTTGCAAGATTTTGTTATTCCATTTCTTGGGGTGTTTCTTTCTTTTCCCCTTGCTCCCTCTATCTTGCATTTTAGCTGGCTACAGTAAGACAAAGATAGGAATCTCATTTTTGCCCTGTCAGATAGTCAAGTATCTTATAAGACTAGACTTTCAAGCCAAAACAAATGTCATCTGTAATAGTTTATGTTGTCTGGTTATGAACAGAGATTACAAATCTTATTTTGCTTCTACAGGTTACCAGAGCAGAGCTTGTGGCACATGGTTACCACCTCAAATCTGAAGAGCAGACGAAGACTAAATGAACAATTATTCTGTTTGACTATGTATGAACTGAATTATCACCTTGACAAAGAGCTTTCAACTGACATAAAAGAAAACCAGACTCAACCAAACATTAAACAGTTCAATAAAGCATGATATGAAATCTCAGCATTCTGAGCCTTTCTTTTTAAACTCTAACAGATGATTTGCAGTCAGATTTTTTTAGATAACTAAAAAAAACTTTGGATTGAAGTTGCAGAGTCAGAGATAGTATGCAGCCATAAAAGTCTTGATCACAGCTGCACTGTACTTGGCATAGGAGACTATTAGGAATATGAAGCCACTCCTACCTTTGAGCCAGGTTTGGTGAGACCTGGGGGGGAAATAGTAAAGCTGTAGCAAGAACTTCCAGATCCATCCATTATTATCCAGTCTGTTGGTTGCAGTTCTCTTGAGTTAAGTCCTTGAGTCTGAAATTGCCGTCCAATTGTAAAAATTGTAAACACTTGCATTTTCAAGAGCATTTTGAAATCAACTAACATTCAGGCCTCCTAAATTTCTTTGTATTCATTGAGAAGAACATAAAACAAGTACTACTTGTTTGCATAATTCTGGATACACCTACTATATGTGGGGGTTCAAGTTGTTAATGAAGGATATTAAGGATGCTTGTTCTGGAACAGCTGTTGTCTGTTTAATGCTGATAGCTTTAGAATCTTAGCACCAGAAAAGGAGAATTAATTTTAATGTTATTAGCTGAATATTCATTCATTGAGGACTGATTTTTCCCCCCAAGAAGCAGGTAGATTTTTAATTTTGTATTTTAAAATGACTGATTAAATATTTTAATTAAATAGTTATTTACTACTGAATTTTAATATTTGTCCACCATGCATTTACAATGATCCCATCACATATTCTTAGCTGATTTCCAGATATAAAGTCTATGTGAGTGTGATCAAGCACTTTCTCATATACATACCGTCTCTTGATTTCTTATACATAAATATATTTCTGTACTACACATATATGCCCACAGTTTGCATCTTGATGGATATTCACGGGTGAACAATAAAATCTGGGGGAATGTAAAGGAGTACACTTGATCACTGGCAGCCCACATGTTAGACTCTTATCCTAACTGAACGCTCACAAAATAGATTGCTATATTTGGCTTGTAGGCTTCAGAAACAACCCATAAAAGTTATAAAATAGATTACCACACAGAAAACTGGACATTATTCTCTCATCATATGGAAAGGAAGTCATGCAATTTTCGTTCTAATAACCATTGGTCGAATGTTGAGAAAATAGATTCCCTGACGAAACCTGCTAGAATAACTAGCTTTTAAAAGTATTATGTAGCCAGACATTCTAAGACCACACAATTACTATGTATGTAAAATATATACATTTACGGTGATTATGTAATGTTCCATTTATATCAGCTATAACATTTGGCATCACTCATTTAAAAAAACCCTCATCAGATATATTGTGTATGTCTATAGTTCTATTATATCTACCCTTTCTATGGTTTTCCTCCACTAAATATGACAGCAAAGAAAATCAGATTTTTTGGTTGAGCATCGGAGTATATACTACCTTAAATAAACAAAGCACATTTTCCCAGAAACGTTCAAGAGGAATCAAATCTCCCTTGAACCATTCTTAGTGATCCAGGAGTTTGTATGCTGCATTGGGTTCTGAAAAAGTATTTTTTTGTGACAGCTCAATCTTTTTTATACAGCTTTAAACCGAACATTCATACATTTATTTATGGCTCTGCAAAGCATAGCGTGATTTAGCAAAGTGTTCCTACACAGCTGCTCTCTTTCCGGTATGCTGTCTTCCCTTAATCTCTTGTTTGCTAATACATCTTGGACAGACAGAGTCAATTGTTCATTGATGTCAGATTGATTTCACAGCTACTTCTCACTGTTAAACTGTTTTCAAGAAATCTGTATGTAGTAAGTATCTATGATTGGCTTCGGTACAGCATAAAGATTTCTCGTTTCCTAATATATGGAAGGGATGAAGTGCAAACATGTCAGTCACATGTTCTTTATTATAGAGGATTCAATAAATCATTGCTAATAAGGTCTCAACCCATTTTGACTAGTAACGTAATCCCTATTTTTCCCACTTATAGGTCAGAACTCTGGAATCTCTACTTTGTATAGAAATTCTTACGGTGCACCTGCTGAAGATATCAAACACAACCAGGTAAGTGGGTAAATCAACTTATTCCATTTTTGAACTAAAAAAATAAATTAATATAGCTGCAATAATTTTAAAGAATCATAGTTGAAAAACTATTCAATGTTTCACTGATACGAACTTTTCTCAAGTCTATCCTGGTAAATGCTATATTTATCAGTAAATTATGGAAATGCAACTTATATTCAACTATTTTCAGAGGAGCTTTATTATTCAGATGCACCAGCACATGGCAGAAACATTTTCATTATTATGTTTGTAAGCATGTCTTTATTTGCAAATAAAAGAGAGTGAAAGCTGGGCATTTTCAAAAAGTAGTTTTGAAATAATCTGAAGTAGTCTCCTGGCAATATTATTAAACATCTCTAGTATATGTTTTTCACATTTTCCGTGGCATATATGTATATAAGAGAAAAATGAGGCAAGGGAAGCTCCATTACTCAGGAAGTTGCTGACGGGAGTGTTGAGAAGAATGTGAAAAAG